GGTCGGGGCGTCTCTTCTCGTCGGGCTTGGAGGTAGCCCGGTTGCGTATCTTCAGTTTCTGCCGGGGTCTGGTTGCTGGCACCTCGGATGTGCATGGGTGTTGGGTCGGGGTTCGTTCTTGTAGGCAAGGTTGAAAGGCTGGCGTTTCGTTCGGGCAGGGTCGGAGCTACTGAGTGTTGACGCCATTCGACCCATTTCTCTGTTCCTGAGTTCGAGGGAGGCCGACTGTTTCCGGAGTTGGCTAGTGGTGATTTGCGGTTTTGAAACGGTGTCGGATCAGCTAGTGGTGTTAACCGATTGGAGGGCGATTGTAGTTTCTTGCGGTTGGTGTGCGTGTCGGTTTTTTGGATTATTCTGAGGCTTGGGTCATCGTCTTGCTAGCCTTATGCAGTGGCAGGCGCGGTATCAGAGCTTCGGACCTCTCCTCAGAATCGGCTTTGTCCGCTGTCCTTTACGGATGTTTCTGTTGAGGGAGATTGTGCTTTTAGTTTGTAGTTGTTTGTTTTTCGTATGTTTCGTTAGTTTGTTCTTGTTTTGTGTCGTATGTGTCGGTGTTTGTGTTAGTATTTGTGTTTTATGCTTGGGCCGTTGGCCTCGGTTAACCGGAGTGTGACCTTATTATCCTGTTGGAATCGTACAATCGAGCATTACCCTGTTGGGTCATTTCTAGGCAGTCTTCTGACATGTCCTCTCAGTTTATTTAGATGTTGGCTGTCTGTATTCAATTGGTGACTATACTTTTACACATTTGTGCACTTTTAATATAATATCTCTATCATTTCGAAATAAAAAAAAAAACTTATATTGAACTTAGAAGTACGTTGGTCGACCCGGCGGACAAATGCTGGCAGTAAACCGGCCCGAAAATTGGCCAATGTTTATAATAAAATCTATTTAAAGCAACGGGTTCTCCTGCGTATTCCCAACACATCCCACACGCGCTGAAACTACCTACGCGCCGCCTCTCGCCGCCGGTTTCGAAGAGCTCAAGTTAGCGGAGAGAAATGAACGGTCAAAGTAGCCATCAACAATCAAAAGATGGTCGCCACGATGATGACGCCACTCTTACAGAATTCCTTTCTTCTTTGATGGACTACACTCCTACTGTAAGTTTTTTCATTTTACAAGTTTCAGTTACTGTATTTGTTCTGTAAATAACTGCGTTCGTTCATCTTCAGATACCTGATGAATTGGTGGAGCATTACCTGGCCAGAAGTGGATTTCAGTGCCCCGATATCCGATTGTAGGTACTCTCTGCCTTCGCTCTCTACTTTGCCCTAGAAGTGTATCTCTCTCTAATTTTGCCCTAGCTTGTGTAAGAAAATTAAATTTAAGTCGTACTTGGGGAAGATCATTGGAACTGTTAACATAATTCCTTCACTTTGGCCTTTTTCCAATTCTTCAACATAAACTTCAAGTCGATCTTGCTTAATTTTCTTGAAATATTTGCTATATTCTCAGTTTTCCAATACTGCAGGTTCAAAATTACTACATTTCTTTTTTCTTTCGCCTTTGTGTCTTGACTGTGCGATCTTGTGTGTTGATGAGGCTGTTCTTTTATCGGTTTCAATCTGCCAATTTGTATGTCTTCCTGATACAGTATTCTGTAGAAAGGCAATCACCTCAAGTCTGTCAAGGTCTATTATGATTCCTTCTTGTATTCCTATCACTTCTCTCCACCTCAAGCAAGCAATGGCCAAGACCTGCAACGTAGAAGTTGCTTAATACTAAAGTGTTATTGGAAATGCATTGCCGATTCAATTGTCATGCTTGCTGAACCAGCCTTTTTAGATTCTTTTGCGTGATTAATGTGGGTAATCACACTACTGGTCTTAATGCTACAGAATCCCCTGCTCGTGGAGCTATATGGCATGGTCCTGACTAAGATCTCCTACTACTCTACTCCTAGTCCTACTTCTAAGAAAGAGTGAACAGATGGTAAACTGAAAATCTATCTAAGCTAGGAGAATCAATCTCGTCTTTTCTCTAGCTCTTTCATACCTTCTCCTAGTCTAGTTGGAATCTTCAGTGTCGAGGGGCATTGAAGAAGTCCTCAATGGTAACCTGGCCGTTAAGGGCTGCACCATTATACCAACGACAATACTATATCGGACCAGACCACTCAATAAATTCTTTATCCTAAAGTCTATTATTGTTCTATTCTTGTTCTCCTAACCCAAGAGGAAGGTGTGACTCCGCCCTTATCCCTAAAGTGTGTGTTTTTATTAGCACCCGAGACCGTTTTCAAGTTTTTAGTTTTTAGGATTATTTTTTTATTTTTTTATTTTTCGAAGGGCTACGCTAAACCTATGCTTTATTTAGGAGCCGAAGGGTATTGGGAGTTGGGTTGCTAAGCAAGTGATGGGAATGTAAGGCGCTATTGAGGCGTGTTAGCATAGTTTAAAATGGCGACACCATGGCAAGAGGCGACCAAGGCGAGGGGTCAACCACCTCGCCACTGCTTGAGGTGACCCTGTTTCCGAGGCGCCCGCCTCAGGTCGCCTCTGCTTGTCTTTTCGCCTGGCGAGGCGCATGTGAGGTGTGCCTCAGCACCTCTCTGATTTGATAAAAAAATAAAAATAAAAACACAACACATTTTTAACTATGAAAAGAGAAGACGTGAAATTTAAATGAAAAGACACGGGATAGTTGTCGAACAAAGTTTTTTACAGACAAAAAACTAGGGGTTAACTATGTGTGTGCCAAACAAGCTTGTTGCTTATTTCTAGCATTTAACTACGTGTGACAAATTTACTCTCATATTCCCACTTTCACAATACATGCTAATTATAAAAAGAAATGCTAAAGCAAAATAGTAATAATAATACTAATAAGATAACGGCTGAACAAGCACTAATCCACTAAACTGGTTTATTGCCCCGTTGGGCCGCCTCCTCATCCTTAATGGGATCACCTTGGTCCGACTCGTCCCCCGAAGCCTTCTTTTCCCTTCATCCCAATATCATATATTAGATATATGCTAGCCCGTTCCACGGCCCCAACTCCATAATCGGGTACACGACAGTGCCAAACTATGTAATTTATTTTTACTTTCCTTAGTGGTGTTTGTGCTATGGACTTATGTTTCCTTTGTGTTCTTGCCTTTTGGGATATATTTGATGTTTTTTTCTCATTTGAACAACAATATACTATTGCATCATCTATAATATTGTTTTTCTACATTTTTGTGGCTTGTGTAGCCGATGCCTGGCCATGGCGAGTCGCTTTGCCTCGTGGCGAGGCCATGGGCCTATCGCCTTGCCTTGCCTTGCCTTGCCATTTGCCATTTAAAACTATGCGTGTTAGTAAGGCAAATAGTCTGGGCATTATGGGACCAACGGAGTAGTTAAATTACCCGTTTTTCGTTAAATTGAGTTTCTGGAAATATAGTACCAAGCAAATACATCCATCTATGGTTTGCTCCCTTTTGAGCTTTGTCTTTATCTTCTTTCTTTTCTCTTGCGTTGCTTGAGTTTTTTAGTGGTCATACTGTTATGTGATATATTCAATCCTTTGCTTTGTTAGGACAAGGCTGGTAGCAGTTGCTACGCAGAAATTCATTGCAGATGTTGCAACTGACGCTCTTCAGTAAGTTTCTCTACCTTGCATGTACTAATTTCTATTTGGAAAACAAATCTATCTTTCTAGTTCATTTGGATCTGCATGACATATTTAGGGTTTATGAGGTTATGATTGGATGCTGCCATTGGGGTTTTTATACTTTGGCATGGAATAGTTGTTGAACAAATCTATCTTCCTAATTCATTTCGGATTGGTATGATATATTTAAGAGGGTGTATCCCGTTGAAATTTTTAAGGAATTCTTAAGACTTAGAATTTTGGTGTATTCACGACTTCTAAAAAGTCTACAGTTGAGATTTTTTAAATCTCTAAAAAGTTTTAAGGTATTCAATTAAAACTTTCTAAGTCTCTATAGGTCACCCGGGATTGAAAGTAGGAAGAATTTGTAAGACTATAAATTGGAATACTTTCAAAGACTTTTTTTAATAATTTTTTTTTTTCTAAAAAGTGCTAGTAGGAATCTCATCAAATTTGTGAGATTTTGTTGTATTTACATGATTCTCTTCAAATTCTCTTTTATTTATAGGGTTTAATGTACACAACTATATTTCATATCACTATATTATTTTACTAATTTATCTTGAGAGTTGGTATAATTTAATTTTTCATCATAAATGTTTAACGTGATTTTTTCTTTTGTTTAGATTGTATTATGGTTATTCTATATATATTTACTTGTATTTTCTCATTTGCTCGCTTGTAAATTTGACTTTTCAAATGTTAAATGTTTGCATAAGTTAGACTTGCTAAAAATTTCAGCCTTTTGATAATATGTGTGTCTTGTAAAACTATATCATATATTGGTTTTTCTAATACTGCAGCATGATTAAAAAATTAAAAAAAAAAATCAACGACAATCACATAAATATATTATGACTAGGTTGAATATGAGTGTCATTCTATCTGAGACGAGTAACACTTTGAGTTTGACTTGTTTAATAAATGAACGAGTATTGTAATTGTGCAAATGCACAAAATTATGTAAATAATTGAAATACAGTGGCAAGTACAAATGATAGTTTATTTGTTGTGTGATAGATAATTTATTATATACAAAGTTTTTCGTCTGCGTGTTATGTTCATTATCATAAATTAATACTTCAATTCATTCATGTGTTTGTAATTCTGAAAACGACATATAATTGATCATGGTTGAAGACACGAGATTTTTAACTTACAAACAAACATGCGTGCGAAAAGAAACTGTGTTGTGTTCATCATTGTAAATTAATATTTTCAATATATTTCTGTTTGCAACTCTCAAAACATAAATTTGGTCAATGATTAAAGGCAAACTTCTTCAGACCAACGTGCATAAGAAAGAACTGACTTTGATTCTTGTTAAGCCCCTCAAAGGAAACTATCAAATTATTTAATAATTTTGTTTTCATTTAACTCAATACAAAATAAATAATTAAAAATTGCTAATAAAATTTATGATTTTAAATAATCTAATTTAATCATGGTAGTAAATAATTTGATTAATTAAACATAGCAAAAATATATTAGTTGAAACTACTTGTACTACACTATGAACATGTAAAAGTCCAGTAAAATGTTTGGCTACTTCAATTGCTTATTATTATTTTTTTTATCAAACTTTAGACACAAAAATAATGACCAAGAATTAACGAAAGTTCAACTCTAGTGCCAAAAGTTTGCCAACTTTCATCCATGGTCGGAACTTTTCAGACAATAATCAACGATGCAAAAAGAGTTAAGCTCATGATTCAAAATAAATATCCTTGTCCATTTCAACACCTACCGATTTATTTGACCCTACAATGGTTTTTTACACACACCACGGATATGTGGTGATCAAGCAGTAGGTTTGAAACGAACCCTACCTTTACCCTATTAACCTACTTTGAACATCTTCTACATTTTTGCACACTACCTTAGGTGAAATTTTGATACACTAACACAAGCTTTCAAACACCATTCCTTTGTATTTTAGATTGAAGTTTTGATCATGTTTGCAATATTAATTTGGTTTTCATATAAAAGTTATGAATTACACACTATCTATCTATATATAAAGAAGTTCGTATTTAGTGATTTCCCACCTAAAAAGTCTTGCATAATATGAAAATTTTTTCAAACATTTTTTATTTTTATTTCTTACTTTTTTTTTTGTTATTTCCTTTTGGTAATTTTTTCTACGGTGAGACTTTATTTTTATTTAGGTAATGTGATATCATTAATTGATTTGAATCTATTGATCTATTTTGTTTTAATTTTTTTAATCAATTATTTTATTTCAACGTATTCTATTTTTATTTTTAGTGACGTGATATCAATAATATGAGATGAGCTTTTCCAAAACTTACAATCATTTTTTCAATTTCTACATAATCTAAAATTTCATTTGAATTGGGAAATATAAATTAATGATATGGTTATAGATTAAAATCACTCGAAGGATAATATTTTGTAAATTACAAAAAAAAAAATCTTGAAACGCTTAGAAGAAAAAATTTCTTAATTATGATATTTTTTTTCTATTTAGTTTCCATATTGTTGTATTTTTCTTTATCCATTCTTCCTATTAAGTATTGTTGTCATTTCTCTTTAAAAACTTAAAACTTAATAATATTTTTATTTTTTATCCATTTTTTATATAATTTCAAATTAACTTTTATTTTTACTATCTTAAAAATAATTATTTATTAAAGTATAAATATGTTTATTTGTTAATATTATATACATAAAATGTACTTAAATTTATTATTTAATAATAATTCATAAATAAGGAGTTAGTCTCAAATTATTATACAATGAAATGTAAATTTATGTATAATAAAATGTATTTAATATAAAATAACCTAAAATAGTAGTTAATATATTTATCTTTCATGGGTCTATAAATTAATATTTAAAATCTAAAAGTATAAGTAAGCAATTTTGAGTATCAAGTATATACAATATTAGAATACGATATTAAAATAATAAATTAATTGTTCATTTGTCGAACTACCATACAAACTTTTAGATTATAGAGAATCAAACTCTTTTATAATATGTATTATTATAAATGTCATCTGTCGAATTGCCATGTAAATTATAAATTTTGAAATAAAGAATATTATAATTTATATTGTTCCTGATGACAAACCAATGGATCATATATCCTAGGGCTGCTCAATCGGTCGAAACTGAACCGAACTAACCGAAATTTCGGTTTACCCAACCTTCAAACCGAAAACCGAACCGAAATTTATGGTTCGGTTTGGTTTTTAACTGAAAATTCGTCGGTCGGTTCGGTTCGATTATCGGTTATACGATAAGATAGAAAAATGAAAAGAAAAAAAGGAAAATCTTACAATTCAGCAAATCGAACGTCTAATTTCATCAAATTGTAGCCATAATTAGCAAAAAAATATAATAACATAATTAAGCGATAATCACGGAAGAGAGATATTGGATTGATTTAATCGAGTGCAACCCATAGAATCGACGAGATTGAATCGATTTCATCCTTGAGAGATTGAATTGATTTAATCGAGATTGAATCGACGGAATTTGGGTGGCAAATCCATTTGAGAAGATGAGCGTCGTCGAGTGCCGAATGGGGTGTGTGCGGGAGGGGGAGCGCGGCGGTAATTTGAGTTTTCATAGCACTGAACGAGATTGTTAAGATAGGGTTTACCTGATTTGGACTTTTTTT